CTTGGAACCGCAAGTGTGTCTGATCGGGACGACCAGACTTAGGTGGAGGGCAGTGTGGCGAATACTGCGGCAACACAAAGCGAACAACGAGAAATAGGCAGAATGTTCGAAGAATGACGTAGAATGTTCCACAAAGAGAAACGTCAAGTTGTATGAACACTGCGAACAGCGAGAGAAAGAGAATGAGCGATAAACTTCAGAATATTCTAGAGTTGCCATAAGTGCCAGCGCAGGTATATAAGGGCGCCGCCACCGCGAGGTGAGTTAGTTACAAGTCAGCAAGCTACAAGTAAAGTGAGCGGAGAATTGAGTTGCGAATAAGCAAGCTATAAGTTTAATTGTGTTAACAAGTAGTAAAGCGTTGTTATTGCTTTAACAAGTATTGTAAAGTGTTTTTACTGTATTAGCAAGTATTGTAAATTGTTTGTTGTACAATAAAGTTAATTGTACTACAATTCGGTCATCGTTAGCATTTATTTAACAATCCAGCGATACGAGGCCGAGTATATTTGGGTAATCCCTCAAGGTTTCGAGGATAATCGTAACAATATGTTCCACAGGCGTTAGCGACAGAACTGTTGAAACATCCCTTAAAAAATTATTTAGGCTGTATTCGCTTTCCCCATTAAAAACAGGAAAGGCCCGTTTACATAGAACTTTGGCGTTGCGTTGGCGTTGGCGTCGCTTCAACAGCTGACTATGAATACATGAATTCAAATGCAGCCGTCCACATAGCCAAAATTCGACAACGCTCACGCCAACACAAAGCAAAAAGATGGCCAACTCTCAACTTTTCGCGTGCGTCGCTCGTCAGCTGTTGCGAATAAATAAAATTATGTGAAATATTTTTCCTTTTTAATCAAGTGCGGGCAAGAAATATCGTTTTTAATGCAATTATTGATATGAAATATTAATTTATCTGTCGTTAATATGTTAATTTAGTGGCCCAAGGATTCGCCGCCAAGCGTTCATTGTAGCAAGCATTCTTTTAACGTGCGTTCTGTCAAACCAACGCCAACGCCAACGCAACGCCAAAGTTGTATGTAAACGGGCCTGAAGGCTTCTCGCTTCTCGCAAGCATTCTGATAATGTCAATGCCATTTTATTAGCTAATTTTTATCTCTAGTCGTTTTTTATATTTAAGTATATGTGAATATTTAACAAACGTTTATATTTTCAATTTTTTAAATTAAATTGCTTATATCTTTAGAGTATTAATATTTTCCTTGCATATACAATATATATGTATATGTATATACGCAAACGTATATATTTTAATCCTTCAAAAATATTTGTATTTTTCGCAGTCCTTAAATTATTATATGAAAGTACATAGGATTTATGCACATGTAATACATACATATAGATTTATGTATTCAATTATTAATTATTAATTACATCGCATATTTTTAATCCGTTTACTTTTTTTATGTTATCCTTGCCTATATATTTTTAAATAATATTTATTTCCATGTAAGTCCTTTTATTTAGTTTGGTCTTCTTTTATTAAATCCTGATTTCATACCGGGATCCCATCCTCGTCGCCAGAAAAGTAAATATTGATTTAAGGATAATTTGCTATTTTTCTTTATTTTATTATTAATAAAATGTATGTATATATGAAGTTGTTTTACCCCAGTAGAACTTGGGAGCATCGTACGATTGCTCGGTGAGTACTCCCTTGGGAGTATACGAATACTCCCCATTGCTCCCTATGCTTCTGTGTATAAGCATGTAATTTTGTATACTCCCTTTACCATTGGATGTCCTAGGAGGGGGAGTAATCCCTTTTACCTCCTAAACGAGCAATCGGGGAGCACACACAGAATTATCATCCCACAAACCTCCTCATAGAGCAATACGGGAGTACTCCTATAGTTACCTCCCAAAAAGACAACAAGGGAGTGCACATAGAAAACATCCCATATTCCTCCCGAACGAGCAATAAAGGAGTGCTCTCATTAGAGACATCCCGAAAGCCTCCTGTAGGAGTAATAAGAGAGCAATGATAACGAACATTTTACATTAGCCAAATAGATTTTGCTATTTATTAAATTTTTGTATATAACTTTTTAATCACGTGCATTTGTGCAATGTTACAAGATCTTAAAAATAAAACATAAATGATACGTCTTACATAATTGCTTAATTTTAGAATTATATTGCAGAGAAATCATATGAAATTAAAACATAATAATAAAACGGTAAGATAAGATTTGAATTATATGCACCTATATGAACATATAAGTATGTACTCCTATATGATTTCCTGGGTGTCAAGGATGCTTGCCTGTTGAGGAATCCACCAAGCGGGGAAATTGTGAAGGTGACTTTGCTTATCTGACATCTTTGTCACCCATGCGAAGTTTAAACCCCGGGGTCACACTTAAATGCTGACACTAATTTGCGCAATCTGGAAAGTATTTAACGGTGCATTTATAAGTAATACAATACATACTTAATATATTTAAACAAAAGTTGAAGTACATACCAACGGACTTTTATTAAAATCTGTGTGCAATCCAAATTAAATTATTGTGTCCTCCTTATGCTTCTATAAGAAATATTTTCTGTTGTTTTTTTTGTATGATAAATTTTTTCGAAAACACAAATTTCTTTTGAGTGAGGTGCGTATTGCTCTCCTATCAATCAAAAAGAATACTCTTGGATTTCTCGCTTAGGAGACATCACTTTTTGCTCCTAAGCGAGTAATAACGGAGTACAAAACCGACAAATCTCGCTTATTGCTCCCAAATCATGCCTCAGGGAGCATTCTTTAATTGCTCGCTTAGGAGATCTCTCATTAAGCTCCTAAGCGAGTAATAACCGAGTACAAAACCGACAAATCTCGCTTATTTCTCCCAAATCATGCTTCAGGGAGCATTATTTCGTCGCTCGCTTAGGAGATCTCTTATTTGACTCCTAAACGAGTAATAAAGGAGTACAAAATCGACAAATCTCTCTTATTGCTCAGAAATCAGGTTAAGGGGAGTACTCTTTTATTCCTCACATAGGGAGATCTCCCTTCAAGTTCTAGTGGGACAATTCACAAAATTATTCAAACTAAAACTATTACAATTTTCATTCTCATAAAATATTTTTATATCCGGCAAACGTATTTGTTTAAGCAATAAATATTCACAAGTAGAAGTATTAAAGAAACAAGTGCAACAATAACAAGTACACATAAACATACATATATAACTCGCGTTGCCTCCAAATTAAGGTCCTTTAGGCGAAGATCCCCGGGATCGACCAGCGATACCTCCGAATAGGATGAAGCGAGTCAGCATGTATATCTGTAGGTGAAGGAAGGCCGGCGAAGCTGCTGTCGACTTTCGCTAAGCCGTTCCATTCAGCGTTGTTTTTGTAGCGGCACTACTAATCCCCGCCTCTTTCGGCTCATCCTTCAATCATTGTTGTCAAGCTCAACTAACGGTAGGCCCAGGAAACGGGCTGTTTCAATAGGGTCGGACCAAATGGAGGGGGGTGTTAGTTGAGTGGGATTGAGCTGGCATGTGAAGAGGTGGTTGGTGTCGTGCGGCGAGTCTCCACATGCCGGATATTGGGGTCGAGTCTGGACAGGTAGCTGTTGAGGTGGCTACAGTATCCAGACCCTAACTGGGCCAGCGTAACGCGGGTCTGTCTTGACAGCTTACAGAGCATTTTGTTGTGCTCCCTTACGGGGAGCATTTGGTCCTCGCTGTGTAGGTGGTGCTCAGGCGACATCAGAAGGGACCCTGTCGCTGTCCGGAGTGAGGCGTTCTGACAAGTCTGTAGCTTCGTCCACTGCGTCCATCGTGTATATCTCTTCCAGGGTCGTCTTCCATGGTACAAAATGTCGAATAGTCTATCTGCTCAATAGGTTTCCCCTATAATGTTGCTCTCGTTGTTGTAGCGGCTACTAAACCCCGCTCGGATGGGCTTGTCCATCAACGTTGTCGTCAAGCTCAGCTAAGGGGAGGCTGGGTGGGGTTTTGGGGCAAGCGCACTATGGACTAAATCACTTTTTTTTTGTTTAAAATCCAATATAACGAGAAGGAATAGAGATAGCGCATTTCGCTTTTCTTTTTGCTGTATCTGAAACGCAAATCATGATACCGATACATTTTTTTTTAATTGTAGTAAATTTATGGGTCGATTATGCAATTTGCTTTTACAGAACATGGTGAAAATAACAAAACAATAACTTGTAATTTTAGTTCCCGTGGAGTACGCCCTTTTGGCGAAACAAAAGCGAACACCGATTGCAAATTTTTTCCTTTACCAACTGAAGCACCTCTTTTAAAACTACCGATACACCAAGTTTTCAAAATTAAATCGAGCCCTTGGCTCGAATCGTCACATACGATATCGTACTACGCGGCACGTAAAATCACATTTTTCGGATAATGACATACGTGAACGTACTCTTTGTCCCATTCAGCTTATACTGCCTGACGTATCACGTAATTTTCTTTCGTATTTTCGATCCGTGAACGGATTTTACTATCCGAGCCCTGGTTTTTCGCAACTTACCCCTTATTTCATCCCCTAAAGTAAGAGTTGATGATACCCCAATAAATTACACCCTGCAAAAATAATTTTAGGAAACACTTAATGTGAATACAGTGAATTTTGAAAATGCCATCTGAAACCGGGCTCGAATCGTCACAACACGATATCGTACTACTCGTCACGTAAAAACACATTTTTCGGATTATGACATACGTAAACGTACTCTTTGTCCCATTCAGCTTATACTCCCTGACGTATCACGTAATTTTCTTTCGTATCGTTTTCGATCCGTGAACTGATGTTACGATTCGAGTTCTGAATTGCTACGAAGATGTATATTCAAAGTATACACTAAATTCGTAGCTATACGAATTCAATTATAGCATCTTCGTAGATTTCAAAATCGGACTACGATGGATTCTGTGATTGCCCTATATAAGAAACAGCTTCGCCATTTATACCGTAAGCCAACCCGATAAACTTTAGTGTATATATAGAAAATCTGAAATTTCTTCTATTTATTATTTTATTTTTAATTATTTTAAGTCATAAAACTCTTCGTAAAATCGAAGATTTCGATCCTCTTCATAATATATTTAATGTTTTGTAAAAAATTAAATCACTTATCCATGAGATACAAATCATGAGCGTGAATGAGTAATGTACAATTGCAAAAATTATTTTAAGTGATTTGTTTTACATAGCGAGTTTGAAAAAGCATTGAATTACATTTTGGAGAGACTTACTTGGAATGTGGAACACATCCGAAAAATTTACAGAATTTAACAAAATAAATTAAGTAATTTCAAAATTAATAAGTTGGTAAAAGTTAAGAATTTTCCCTGCTTGGAATACGTATAAAAGATAACCAAAAGATATAAACTGATTGAACTCTAAATCTGTCATCTAAAAGGAAAGTATGTATATTATTTCTAGACTGGATTGGCTTCTGTCTTTCTTCATATTATCTCTTCAAAATTTATTAAACTTATTTTGTTTAAGAGTGTATCAGTCTGAATTTTTCTAGATCAGTTTAAAAACTAAATGAAATTAAAAGTAATCATATTATGAACTAATAAATTATCCCGCCCTTCTTTTACAGCTCGTCCTTGACATCATCATCACCTTCTTCGGTTGGTGGTGCTCCGCCAGCTCCTTGATACAGTTTGGCAATAACGGGTTGCACAATCGATTCCAAATCCTTCTTTTGCTTCTTATATTCCTCCGGATCGGCGTCGGCGTTTTGTTCCATCCACTTAATGGTATCATCGATGGCACTTTCCACTTTAGTCTTTTCGTCATCGCTCAATTTTCCACCCAGTTTATCTTTGTCGCCAATTTGGTTCTTCAAACTGTATGCGTACGATTCCAGCTCGTTGCGAGTCTCGACCCTCTCTTTCAGTTTCTTGTCCTCGTCAGCAAACTTTTCGGCATCGCGAATCATGCGATCAATATCTTCAGGAGTTAGTCGATTCTGATCATTAGTGATGACAATCTTTTCCTTATTGCCAGTACCCTTGTCTTCGGCGCTAACCTGTAGAATACCGTTGGCGTCGATTTCGAAAGATACTTCAATTTGTGGAATGCCTCGAGGTGCTGGTGGGATCCCAGTCAAATCGAATTTACCAAGCAAATGGTTATCCTTGGTCATTGGGCGTTCACCTTCATAGACTTGGATGGTAACAGTGTGCTGGTTGTCCGACGCAGTCGAGAAGATTTGCGATTTCTTTGTTGGGATGACAGTGTTACGAGGAATAAGCTTTGTCATTACCCCTCCGACTGTTTCGATACCCATAGTCAATGGATTGACATCAAGTAACACAATAGCATCAGTGTCTTGTTCTCCAGAAAGCACACCAGCTTGGACGGCAGCACCATAAGCAACAGCTTCATCGGGGTTGATGCCACGGGATGGTTCCTTGCCTCCGAAAAAGTCTTTAACCAGTTGTTGCACTTTAGGAATTCGTGTAGAACCACCGACTAAAACAATTTCATGAACGTCCTTTTTATTCATGTCAGCGTCCTCTAGAACCTTTGTTACTGGCTTCAGTGTTGAACGGAATAAGTCCATATTTAATTCCTCAAACTTGGCTCGGGTTAATGTTTCAGAGAAATCTTCTCCTTCAAAGAACGATTCAATTTCAATACGAACTTGGTGAGAACCAGACAGCGCACGCTTTGCTTTCTCAACTTCGCGACGCAATTTCTGCACAGCACGGTTATCTTTGCGAATGTCCTTACCCTTCTTCTTCTTGTATAATTTGATAAAGTGATCCATGACACGTTGATCAAAATCTTCACCGCCCAAATGAGTGTCACCATTAGTGGCAACCACCTCGAATACGCCATTGTCTATTGTCAGCAGCGATACATCAAAAGTACCACCACCCAAGTCAAAGACCAACACGTTTTTCTCACCCTCTTTCTTATCCAAGCCGTAAGCAATAGCGGCCGCTGTAGGTTCGTTGATAATACGCATCACATTTAAACCGGCAATGACACCTGCATCTTTGGTAGCCTGACGTTGAGCATCATTGAAATAGGCTGGCACAGTAACCACTGCATGAGTGACCTTCTTTCCAAGGTAAGCCTCAGCAGTCTCTTTCATTTTACCCAAAACCATAGCAGAAATCTCCTCAGGCGCAAACACTTTGTTACCCTGAGAAGTGGCTACGCTGATGTGTGGTTTCGAATTCTTTTCAACAACCTTGAACGGGAAGAATTTTATGTCGTGTTGCACATTAGTATCCGACCATTCGCGGCCAATGAGACGTTTCGCGTCGAACACTGTGTTCTCGGGATTAGTTGTCAATTGATTTTTCGCAGCATCACCAATCAAACGCTCGCCATCAGCAGTAAATGCAACATAAGATGGTGTGATACGGTTACCCTGATCGTTGGCAATGATTTCTACTCGGCCATTTTTATAGACACCAACACTGAAAGGAAACGAATAAATTTTTTTAAATGTATTGCATACACATATAAATATATTGTTAAATATATTATATGAAAGTAGAGTCCAACTTACCAAGAGTATGTTGTACCCAAATCGATACCAATAACTGTGCCAATATCCTTATCTTTCTCCTTCTTCTCTTCACCATGTGAAAGACTAACAAAGGCCACCACGGCCAGTAGCAATAAGCAAATCTTCATTGCGAATGAATTCTCCTTTATACTACGTTTATAAAATTAACTGCAAAAAATAATAATAATTTGAATGGTAGGTACAAAAATAATGTAGGTTGTTTTTACATATTAACATTTGTAGCACGTCCAAGAACGTACTTATAAGACAAGCCTAGAAATTGCTTACGTCACACCCCTTCTAGTATGTAATAAAACTTGTATGCACATAGTAATGTGTACACGCCTATACTATGTACCTGCCCATGAATGTTTTATAGTAAGTACAAGTATGCTAGTAGGAGCATCAGTATCTAAGCTCAATTAACATGTGTATAACTGTTAGTATATATTTCGCATTGGTTTTTTATATAGTATGTAAACACCTACCAGAAATTTTAAAACAAATAAAGAACACGTCTACAACTTTTCACTAATAAATTTAGACTGACATTGATAATCAAACCCGCACTGTGATACGTGTGTACATAAATAATACAATAGATGTCTGTGTATGGGAATGTAAGCCTCAGTGTTACCACTTTGAAAATTATTACCAAAATTGGTAGAAAAAATTTGGTTTGGTAGAAAGTTAATTTTTTTCATTTTGGTAGATTTTTGTTAAAATATATTGTGTGAAAAACAATTGAGATGAGACCTTCAGTTCTCGGTTTATTTGTTGTGGTTAACAGTGCGCGCTACCACTCCAAAGGGCCTGGGTTCAAGCGTGGTTCAACCCAACATCAAAAAATAAAAACCAAAAAGGTTTTTGCTAATACTGGTCGCCCCTCAGCAGACAATGGCAACCTTCCGAGTGTATTTCTCGGCGTAGAACTGTAGGTCCCTCCCCTTTGTGTAACAACATCGAGCGCCAATCTATTATTATTATTATTATTATCTTTATATTAAATAGGCGTGTTTTTTACACGCATATACATCTACGTTTAACGTGTAAAAAAACTAGCATCGACAATTTCCATTTAAGAACAAGTAATTTTGATTTTATCGACAACTATTAATATTTTTGGGTCGCCGTTTACGATGCGATGCTGGCCTTCGTCGTCATTACCGAAATTTGGTGCGATACCTACGACTGTTAGCTCAATCGCAGCACGTAACTCTTGCTTAGTGCAGCTTAGCTGTTGGTCAATATCGGGTGGAGGCTTGCCCCCGCCGGTCAGTTTATTCGCGGCGCAGCCTTTGCGGAGACCAGCTTTGATATTTTTAAATTTGGCTTAGGAGATTCTTGGCTGAACGGAATGTTTATAAAAGCACAGAAAACTAGAAAAGAAAACCCTTTCGGAATGGGAAATGAAAACGTTTACCTTGGAAATCGGTGACGAATTAAACTCCTTTCAATAAATCACCATGCTTTCTTTTATGCTCGTTGTTTAGCAGATTTTTAGTTTCGTCTAGGAGCACCTTTCAGTGCCTTAGCACAAGCTCAGACGGCAAATCCTGCGCAAAAAAATTTACTAGGAAAGGGCACAATTGAAACTTTCCTGTTTACGAATAGAAAATTTATAATTAAAAAAAAAAACATCGTAAACTGGTATTCAGCTCATTGTCAGCAGCTTAAAACTTAGCCGTAAAACACAATTACGACGCACTGCAAGTCTGATTATTTTTGTGGACAAATCGAAAAAATTTAGCCGGGTTTTAAACGGAGTCGTACTATAATTCGAGATTTAAATAAATAGAGTTTTCTACGGTTTTAAAACTCGGTCAATAAACTGGGCGGTAAAGTTTGTCGCTTACAGCTCCATACAAATTTTAAGCGCAGATACGTGTGCGTGTAAAAATAAAACTCTTCCAAAAAAGTATTTTACCCATTAGCATTACCTTTCGAACGCTTTAACGTACACTTTTTATGCACATACATACATATGCTTATCTATAAAATGCAAACATATCTTGCTCCATTGATAATTAAAATCCATCCCAATTTTTAAATTAACGCCAGTGTTAATAAATTGCTCAAAAAGCCGTAAAAGACCGCCAACATTTTTTTATGGCTGCACATTGTTACGTTATACTATAATTTCACGGGGTAGAAAACTGCATACTAAAATGTTTTCTAAAAATTCAGAGTAGAAAGTTCGAAATTTTTATGAATTTTTCTAAATGTTGTCTAAAGTTTAAAAGTTTGATTTATATGGCGTGGTTAAAATTTAAAGTTTTTATTGAAATAACTAAAAAATTAAATAAAACTAGTTTTTTTTATTGAAATAACTATACAAATTATTGGTAATTTTCTCCAGATTAGGTAGATTTTTTCAAGTGGATAGTAAGCATTTTTTTTGTGAAAGTGGCAACCCTACGCCTAATCCCCAATACTCCATGAACGCTCTCACACACGCTCATACATAGATAGGTAATTCGCTCTTCAAACTCAGTTACCAAGTACATAATGACCACGTTGGTGAAATACAACTTTTTAATACAAAGAAAACGACTGAGTGTTAGAAAGTTTTTACTAACAACTTCTTGATACGTGTACGCTTTCCAATGGAATTCTATGGAGAAAGAAAGCCGGGAGCCGGTTAGACCGTACGCAAACGAACAAAGAGAGCTTTTTGAACTTGCAGCGATTGGCTGGCGGAAAAAAAACATCACAACCACTGCTAAGCAGTGTTTCCGTTTTAGCCCTTTGGTGGCTAGATTTAGCTACCACATATTTTTTTTGGCCACATAAATTTAAAATTGCCCCTAGCCCTTTTTTTAGACCTTTGGAGAATTTATTCATACTGGGCATGAAAAAGTTGTATATTCTTACTTTAATCTAATTTTTTTTGCATTCATGTAAGAGATGTTTTTTTTTAAACTAAGAACGACTGATATATGTATATACATATATGTATTGTATGTTCCTTACGTTTTTATACATACATACTGTAAAAGTGTTAGGGCTGTTTGTTTAACTTATCTATTAACAATAAGTTTAAAATAGATAAGTTTACGGCCCTTTGGGCCACTTTTTCAGAGCCAGTTTAAACTCAGATTAAGAAAACTGAGTTTAAATTGACAGCTGGCTGGCATTTGATTGGCTGATCTTAGTTTAAACCTGCAAGATCGGGCGTTTAAACTTAGTTTAAGCCGCGGCCGTGCACTGAAAAACTGGCCCTTAATGTGCTTCATTTGTTCAATGGCCCATCAAGTCTATTGACCGTGTATGTATTCACGTCGATGACGTAACAATACCAACGGTGAATAACCAGAAAATCCTCGGAGTTACCTTCGACAGTCTGCTCTCCTTCTCGGCGCATACAACCGCAATTGTCAACAAAGTGCAGAGCCGCAACAAAGTCCCCAAGTCGCTGGCCGGCAGCACTTGGGGCAAAGATAAAGAAACGTTGTTGGCAACATACAAGGCAATTGGCTGGCCGGTTCTGAACTACGCAGCGCCCGTATGGTCGCCGGGGACTAGTAGGACGCAGTGGATGAAGCTGCAGACCTGCCAAAACACGACATTACGAACTGCGACGGGATGCCTCCTGATGACGCCGCAACACCACCTTCACGACGAGGCCCAGATGCTCCCAGTAAAGGAGCATAACATAATGCTCTGCAAGCAGTTCCTCGCTGGGAGCCACAGACGTGGCGAATGTTACAAAACACGGTTTTGAGAAAATTGACTTTGAAGTTTAAGGTCGAATTAATCCGAAACTGTACGGTAGATTTTGTAACTTTTGAAGGAGACGTAGTTGGTGTTATTAGTTTTGATTTCCCATATTTTTACATTTAATATCTCTTAACGTTAATGAGAAAATTTACTTTTCATTCCGTATACATTTGTCGTAAGTAGCGTTTACTCACCACTTTGTTTTGTCCACAGAACATACGACAATAGTAAAGTATCTATTTCAACGACGATGGTATAATTTGATGAAAAAAACCGAAATATTTATTAAATAATGATTACTTATTAGAAAAAACATAACAAAAAC